AAATTTTCCAAATTTTGCCAGGAATACGCCCATATAGATAACTCCAATAGTGCCAAAATGGGCTCTTTTCATGTGGACGTCCACATATGTTAAAATATTATTAATAATATAGAATTTATAATTTAAATTTTTTGATTGTTGTCATTTACCACATTTTTTTGTATTAAAATTTAATCTCTGACTGTAGAGAGAGAGAGAGCACAGAAATTTCTAATAAATCTTAACTCAAATTTTATAAGTTGATACAAATACTTATAGATAGATAGACTTATAAATAGAACTTTTGTATAAAAATGTTTCTTTTTTTTATAAAATATAACTTTTTCATACATAACCTATCATTTTATATTTTATCAGATGATTTGAACTAATTGAAAATAGACTCAAACTGAATTGTCAATGGGTTTTGAGCGTAAAAAAATTATTGGTTAAGCCATGGGCATACCTTGAATTTTATTTTACTCCTTCTAGGGTTAAACATTTAAAGAGAAAAGTGGTCGATAAAATTACCTTTGAGGACCTAACAATCACATGCTGTTCAGGAGACTATTTTGGTGACTGCTGAATAAAAAATTATTAGGCAAAATATAAGTTTATTTCCATTAAACGATATTAATGAGAACCGATTTTTAAATTTTTTCACTTTCAACATGTTGTTTGCCATGTGACACAAACCTTTTATGACAAGTGAAAACAAAATTCAATAACCCTTCAATTTTGTAGTTAGGTACTTTACCCTCGTAGTACAGTATTTATCAGGAATTTTTGCAAAGTAAAGTGTGGAAATTTCCGTTGTAAACTTTCATGTTTTCCGAATGTAATATTCCTGAAAAACTTTCTGAAAATTTCCACATGAAACTTGTGGAAAAAGTTTAATTTAAATTTCAATACAACTCTTTGAAAAAGAGCTTATTATTATAATAAATTTTGATTTGATTTGATTGATATGATAATGCAACTCTTCGCAAGAGTTTGAGCATATTTTCATGAATAAAAGAATTTTTGCAAACAATTTAATTATTTTGAAATAATTTAATTCTTTAACCAAATCTAATTATTTTCAATACCATTTTTTTAAATTCCTTCAAAGATTAGATATTAATTATTTTCAAAAATTTTATTAAAATTCTTTGAAATAATTTAATTCTTCTTAACATAATTGAAAGACTACACAAAATAAGGGGACGAACGCGAGGCTTGGAAGGGATATTACCAGTCCGGTTGCAGTGACAAGCCTTGAGCCCCTCACTACTACCTGACTGATACTATCTTTTTCAACCACATGTTCGTCTCCTTAGTCTATGTAGCCCTTCAATTTTTTAAATACAGTTGAATTATTTTGAAAAATTTTAAAAGAATTCTCGTGAAGAATTCAATTAATTTCAGTATAATTTAAATTAAATATGTTATTGTTAAAGATTTTTAAAAATTCATTTAATTAATACAAAATTGTGGAAAATGAAGTAATTTTTCAATTCTTCTATTCTGAATTAAAATGATTAAAACACATATTTTTTCATTGTGAAATTCCTGCAAACTTTCTGAAAAATACTGTACAAAGTAGGTAGAAATATTATTACTAGATGTACATGAAAAAATATATATATACATATATTCTTTCATTTCTTTCTAGTTCACGTTTGATAAAGATGTTCATCTGTCGCTTCTGTGAACATAGAACTGAGATTTTCAAGCAACATGTGGAGCATCAAAACCATCATCGACTTCTGAGCAATCAAAAATATTGCGGTTTTAATGGTTGTCAAATGAATTTCAAAGATGTCACATGTTTAAGATTACATACTATCAGAAATCACACGAAGCTACGCGAAATTTATTATGAAAAAATATCTGAAAGGGTAATTAATGAAGATGGCAAATTCCTATGTACCGTTCTCGTATGTAGAAAGCAATTTTATAATTATCAAAAATTTATCAAACATTTAAAGGAACATATGAGAAATGGTGAAAATGTCAAATGCCCAATCCGAATATGTGAAAAAAAATATAATTTAGTGAATTCATTTACAAGTCATCTGTCGAAATGTCACCGGAATAGGTCGTGTATGCTTAACAACGTAATTGACAACAGTGAATCAATGGAAGATATAGATGAACAAAATATTAACCAAGATGAAATTTGCAGTACGGAGGGGATTAAGAAAAATGATTGCTTTGAAAGTGTTTATTTAAATGATGAAGAGCTCGAGAACAGCAATGCTTTAAAAGATAACAAAATTAATGAAATTAATTATGCTTTACTGTTTTTAAAATTAGAAGCAGAATTATTAGTACCTGCATCTACTATTCAATGTCTTGTTAATGAATTAGGGATTATTAATTTCCAAAATATTACAGTTTTACGCGATCGTTTAAAACATGAATTAGTAGAAAAAAATGTTACTTCCGAAGAAATTCATTATATTACTGAAAAAGTGTTTCACAATGATACATTATCTGTTTGTAATAAAAAATTTGATAGCAATTATAAGCGGAAACTATTTTACAAAACTAATTTATCGTATGTGAAACCGGTACGTATATCGCTAGGTTCTGTTAACGGTCGTTCGGCTCATTTTTATTACGTGCCAATTCTTGAAACTTTAAAAGCAACGTTTAAAAGTAAATCATTTGATATAAATTTAAATATGAATACAAATAATGGCGATTTATTAAAAGACTTTTCTGACGGGTTCATGTATAAATCTAATAAATTTTTCTCTAACCTAACTGAATCACTTTCTCTTATTCTGTATCAAGACTCTTTTGAAATTGTGAATCCAATTGGATCAGCTCGCAAAAAACATAAGATTCTTGCAGTTTATATGATGTTGGGAAATTTACCTTATTATAATCGCTCAAATATAAATAATATTCAACTCGTTCTTCTTTGTAAAGAAAAAGATTTCAATCATGCAAAAGTGTTCAGAAGACTTATCAAAGATTTGCAAAAATTGGAAAGGGAAGGCGTCGAAATTTATCCTAATAAATTTGTTAAAGGCTCTGTTATCTTCATCGCAAATGATAACTTGGGAGCTCATGGTATTGGAGGTTATGTTGAAAATTTCAGCAAGAGTGAGGACTTTTGTAGGTACTGCTTCATTACTAGATCAAAATTTTTAAATCAACAAAATAAAAATGGAAACTCTAAAAAAGAAGTGCAAAAAATGGAAGAAGAAGAGGCTGAAACTGTTCAATTCCAAGAAGTGGAAATGGAAACTGAAAATAGAGATGAAAATAAAAATGAAAGTGAGAATGATGAAGAAGAAGAAGAAGAAGAACAAGAAGAAGACGAAGAAGACGAAGAAGACGAAGAAGACGAAGAAGACGAAGAAGACGAAGAAGACGAAGAAGAAGAAGAAGAAGAAGAAGAAGAAGAAGAAGAAGAAGAAGAAGAAGAAGAAGAAGAAGAAGAAGAAGAAGAAGAAGAAGAAGAAGAAGAAGAAGAAGAAGAAGATGAAAATAAATGTAAAGATTACGAAAGTGGTGATGAAGAGGATGAGGATGAAGTAACTGAAATTGATGATTGTAATGACGATTCAGATGACAATGATGAGCAAATGGATAGGACTCAATTCATTCCTAGAAAGTATGTAATGAGAACAATTAATTCTTACTTAAAATGTTTGCAATTGAAGGGTAATCGAAATCACTACCGAGGAGTCAAATTTAATTCATTATTTAACAAACTAAAAGGATTTCATGTTTGTAATTGTGGATTGCCACCGTGTCTTGCCCACGACCTTCTTGAAGGAATTGCTGCCAGTGATTTACCACATATATTAAAAGACTTAGTTAAAAAAAAATACTTTACGTATGAGTATTTAAATGCTCAAATAGATCAGTTCCATTATTGTACAACTGATCAGCGTGATAAACCAGCTAATGTACCTGGAAAAGGAAAGAAACTCATAGGTGGGGCATGGCAGATATTCAATTTTATTCGACTGCTTCCTTTCTTTGTTGGATCTAAAATTAACATTGATGATGATGCATGGCAATGTTTTCTCAAATTAAGTGAAATTGTTGAACTTGTTTGTGCGCCGGAAATACATGTGTCATACATTTCTTTCTTAGAAGATGCCATTAATCACTACCTTGGTCTAAGAACGAACTTATTTCCTACAATCAAATTGCTTCCAAAACATCATTATTTGATTCACTATCCTGAAGTAATACTGGAATTAGGTCCTTTAATGAAATTGTTTACTTTAAGGTTTGAGAGTAAGCACACGTTTTTCAAAAGAGTTATGAGAAACATAAAGTGTTTTAAAAATGTAACTTTATCATTAGCAGAAAAGCATGAACTTCTTCAATGCCTGCTACGTACAGGTGCGGGATTAAAATATGAATTACAGTTGAATGAAGAAACTACGTTTCATATCAATCGATATTGCACTGAATTAAAAAAATCTATAGAAAATGCTCTTGGAAACAGTGAAATTACAGAATGTTCAAGTGCTTTTTTTAGAGGGAAAAATTACCAGAAAGGTGATATATTGGCAATACGTCAACATGCATATCAGTATAGAGTAGAAATGGGAAGAATTGCACTTATTTTGTGTAACAGTCAAAGATGTCTTTATTTCGTAGTAGAAGTTTTAAGAACTACATTCGAACCAGGGCTTAGACTTTATGAACTTGGGTGTTTTGAACGATATGAGTGTATCCCATATGACAAGTTACTTGATTGCGAACCGCTTACTATTTACAAGCAAAATACCAAATCGTTTGTTAAAATTAGGCATGGGCTTGTTCGAAGCCAGCTTAGTGTATAGATGCATAACAAAAAACTGGAAAACATATAATTTAAAAAAACACTTTATTATAAAATAGGAAGGCAAATATTTTTGTAAATAAAAATTATTAATTCTTTAAATTTATTTAAAATAGAAAAGTCTTAATTAAAAGCGCTTTAAATATGTAAAATTTATATAACTTAGTAAATTAATAATTATTTTGTTATCTACTATTTTTGATAAAAAAATTTTTTTTGTAAAAATGTTCAGTACACCATGCATATTTTCAAAATTACTGGACCAGAACGAGGAAAAGCAATTATCATTCCAGCTATAGATAAGGAGGATTTAATATTGACGGCTTGTACTCGACTAAATCTTCCTTTGGAGCAAATGTACCAGGTATAGATTATATATGTACAAATTATTTTTAATATTATATCTTACGAATAAAAACTTTTAAATTTTCTTGCATTATTTTAAAAATGTTGTATAATTTTAAGTTGTCAATATTTTTATTTACATATTCTAATTCTTATAATTGTTTTGCAGATTGTTCTTGAAAATGACGGTTCAGTTATTGAGGAATTTGAAGTTTTAAGTGAAATCGCAAAAAGAACAGACATGGTCAAATTCATGATGCTACCTGAAGGAATGGCATGGACTAGTCTAAATTCTGTTTCTAGTGACAGTGGACAGTCATCTGTAAATGGTAAGATACATTTAATATACATACAGTATACATTGATTAAATCGTGATACGAAATTCTAAGATGTTTCTAAAATGTAACACCAATTACTTTATCAGGATCAACAAACGAAAACTCACTCCAAAACAGCAGTCTCGATTGTCAAACTACGCACTCTGCAATTGAAGACCCAAAATTTTCAGCACCGATTATTTGGGAAGAAATAATACCGAAAGGTTTCAAAAATTCAGCGGAAAATTCCAGTATGACTGTTCGAAAATTAATTCACCGAACTGCAGATTACATGACGTCAACTTTAAAATCAACAAGCTATGTGGAAACTCTGAGGATGGCAAAAAAAATTGTAGAAAGGTACCCAAAAGCATTTGAAAAAGTAACATGGAAAAATGGACACATTTATTCAGATGGAATTCATGAATTGAGGGCCGTAATCTATGATAGGCTGAAGTAAGTATGGAAAAAAATTCTTTTGTAAAATAATTTTTAATTAATTCTTACTCGCATGTTAGCACGCTTGTGAACACTAAAAAATAAAGTAATCTCTTAAGTGACTTATTTTCACTTACGAATATCAAATTTTTTAAATTATTCAATCACATCAATTAATTGACAAATAATAAATTTATTAAATATTTAAGGTACCAAAACAAGCAATCATCAACAAAAACCAAAAAAAGAAGTTCCGTGGAAATTGAAGACAGCGATGCGCCTGGAAGCGTTGCAAATAAAAAGATAAAAATTACCAGATACGGGAAAGGCCAGGATTGCTATGGGTGTGTGGCCTTCGAACCCCCTTTAACAGAAAATGACACAATAGAAAACCAGAAAGAGAAAAAAAATCAACTGCTCAAATACTTTGAGGAAGACTGTGACACAATGCTTGTTACTGATTTATTAGAACAAACATATCCGTCACAAAGAAGATGTATCAACCACAGGGAAGAGGAAAACATAAAATTACAGGACATTTTAACTAACCATTGGCCATACTTAACAAAAGAGAAATATTTTATCGATCATGCTGATGTTCTTTTGGGAAAAAAAGTTCAAGATGTTTGGAATACAAATTTACAAAAAAAATCTGAAAGTATTGTCTCGTACTTTGAAGGTATCATCTTTCAGCATCGTAAGACAAATAATATTCCAGGATATGTAAAGAAAATGAAAGAGATTTCAAAATCTTATAAAGAAATAGAAAAAGAGGTGGAAAGCAGAAAACCTTCTGCATTAGCCATTCTACCTCTAATAGCCTGCCAATTTAAAGAAGAAGAGCTTTTCACTCTTAAGGTGTGTATGGACGGAAAATGTATACAAACAAATTTAATAAGTTGTGCACTGTAAAAAGAAGTGTGTTACTGAAATGCGCTTCAAGTGCATAAATTTGTCCCAGTTCTGAACACACTTTGAGTGCATTATTCTCATGCACTTTGACCTCAAAGTGTGTAATTTCAATGCACTTTGAAGTGCATAAAATATAAAATGCATAAGAATTACACACTTTGACGTCAAAGTGCATGAGAATAATGCACTCAAAGTGTGTTCAGAACTGGGACAAATTTATGCACTTGAAGTGCATTCCAGTAACACACTTCTTTTTACAGTGTGTGCATTACCGGTTTAGTATGTGTATTATACATACTCGAAATATTAATAAATTTTTTCTTTTTCAGGATTCTGTTGCAACAGAAGAAGAAATAAAACATGCTGCTAAAGATTCTACACGGCCATCATTAATTATTACAGGTATATTTGATTCAGTAACATTAACTTATCATTACAAAATATAAAATTTAATTTTTAGTTAACTTTAATATAATGGATTATTGCTTATTTTTCAGGATCCTCCTTATATGATGAAGCATGCAAATGCTATATAGTCGTTGAGGAAAATATTGTCTTAAAATCTAATGACGTATTAAAGGGTGTCTTATTGCTGCTTCTTACTTATTACGTATATGGCTATAACTATCCAACAAAAAAGGCTGCTTCTTTTGATTTTATTCAACGGTAAATTATTTATTTTATTTTTCTAAATTTATTTTATTATTTGATTAAAGTTCAATTTCATAACAGTTTTTATTTGTCTTTTATAGGATGTTGCTGGATGTTAATCCTGTGGAGGGGCATAAAAGTATTAAAACTTCTAAAAAGTCGGGCACCTTAATTAATAATATTATTGATAATTATGAAATATTAATAAGTTAGTATAATAAATTGTACTTCTGAAGGTGTTAATAAAAAATGTAAAATTTATAGATTTTGTGGTATTTCTGGTAATAATATAAAACAAGTTGTTCGATATTTTTTTCTTAAAATTAGAGCCAAAATACAAAAATTTAAATACTTATACATCACATTTAATGGGTATTTTTTCATTCATTTTTTCCGAAAACTTTTTTATAAAAATACTAAAAATCTTTAATTTTTACCAAAACGTTTTTAAATATTTTTTCCAAAATGTATAGGTGAAATTAAAAAAATTTCATGTATTTTTTCCTGAAAGATTATTGGAATTTTTACACATAAACTTGGGTAAAAATACAGAAGTTTGTTCAATTTTACCTAAAAATTCTTGGGTATTTTTTCCGAAAAAATTATATAAAAATGCCAAGCAGTTTTTATTTTTACCCAAAATTTTTTAGGTATTTCTTCCAAAATGTTTGAGTAAAGTTACCAAAAATCTAGTGTATTTTTTCCTAAAAATTTATGGGTATTTCTACACATAAATTTAGGTAAAAATACAAATGCTTGTGTAATTATACCTAAAAATTCTTGGGTATTTTTTCCGAAAAAAGTATATAAAAATGCCAAAAAGTTTGTATTTTTACCCAAAAATTTTTAGGTATTTCTTCCAAAATGTTTGAGTAAAGTTACCAAAAATCTAGTGTATTTTTTCCTAAAAATTTATGGGTATTTCTACACATAAATTTGGGTAAAAATACAAATGCTTGTGTAATTATACCTAAAAATTCTTGGGTATTTTTTCCGAAAAAAGTATATAAAAATGCCAAAAAGTTTGTATTTTTACCCAAAAATTTTTAGGTATTTCTTCCAAAACGTTTGGGTAAAAATACCAAAAATATTGTGCATTTTTACCTAAAAGTTATTAGGGATTTTTTCCAAAAGATTTGGGTAAAAGTACCAAAAATTTTATGTATTTCTACCCACAAATTCTTGGGGTAAATTACTTCCAAAACATTTTTGGTAAAATTACCCCAAAAATTTTTTACAGTGTATATATGGACAGTATTCGTAGATTAACCTTATTTATTTCTGATGTATGTAGAGTTGATCCTTTTATTTATTGTAATTAGTAGTGTTCTTCTTATTATAGCAATGTAATGTTGAATTTATTCAATTTATTGTCTCAATTCCGGCGTTACCACGTGGCAATGTAAGGTTATGTTGGTTCCAAGAGATTTTAAGAGATAGATCTTCTTAAATAATTATTAAGGATTTAAATCCTCGCCAAGAAACACTTATTATTTCTCCAATGCAACCTTAGGAGTATCTTTAATAATAACTATGCAATACGATTCGATTAAGCTAATTTAAACAATTAACAATTAAACAGAACACAAAGAAAAACGTGTCTCCCGCTCAACATACGAAACGGAAGTCCATTTAATCAAATGCTAAAAACATCGAATTCTCAATTCGTCGAATGTTCAAAACGTCGAATGTTCAAAACGTCGAATGCTAAAAACGTCGAATGTTCAAAACGTCGAATCGTCATTTAGTCGAATGGTAAAACCATCGAATAGTCCAATCGTCAAATGCTCAAATAGTCGAAACGCCATCTGTTCGAATTATCAAGTAGTAGAATGGTACAGTTGTCGAATGTTCAAAACGTCGAATCGTCATCTGTTCGAATTGCCAAGTAGTAGAATGGACAAAAAGTCGAAACGTTATCTGTTCGTATTATCAAGTAGTAGAATGGTAAAGTTGTCGAATGTTCAAAACATCGAATCGTCGTTTAGTCGAATGCTAAAAACATCGAATCTTCATTTAATCGAATGCTAAAAACATCGAATTCTCAATTCGTCGAATGTTAAAAACATCGAATCGTCAACATGTCGAATGTTCAAAACATCGAATTATAAATTTGTCGAATTCTCAAAAAATCGAATTGTCAATACGTCGAATGATAAAAACGTCGAATGGTCAGAACATCGAACTGTCAATTCGTCGAATGCTCAAAACGTCGAATGCTAAAAACATCGAATCGTCAAAAGTTCGAAAAAGTTCTTTGTTTTAAGTTAATGTCTACTGAAAACAAAGAACTTTTTCGAACTTTTGACGATTTGATGTTTTTAACATTCGACGTTTTGAGCATTCGACGAATTGACAGTTCGATGTTCTGACCATTCGACGTTTTTATCATTCGACGTTTTGAACATTCGACTACTTTACCATTCTACTACTTGGCAATTCGAACAGATGGCGTTTCGACTTCTTTACCATTCGACTACATTACCATTCTACTACTTGACATTTCGAACAGATGGCGTTTCGACTATTTGAGCATTCGACGAACTGACTACTCTATGTTCTGAGCATTCGACGATTTGAGAATTCGATGTTTTTAGCATTTGATGTTTTGATCATTCGACGTTTTGAACATTCGACGAATGGAAAATTCGATGATTTAAGCATTCGATGAATTAACAATTCGATGTTTTTAGCATTCGAAGAATTGACGATTCGATGTTTTTATCATTCGACTAAATGACGATTCGATGTTTTTAGCATTCGACGTTTTTATCACTCGACGTTTTAAACATTCGACGTATTGACAATTCGATTTTTTGAGAATTCGACAAATTGATAATTCGATGTTTTGAACATTCGACATGTTGACGATTCGATGTTTTTAACATTCGACGAATTGAGAATTCGATGTTTTTAGCATTCGATTAAATGAAGATTCGATGTTTTTAGCATTCGACTAAACGACGATTCGATGTTTTGAACATTCGACAACTTTACCATTCTACTACTTGATAATACGAACAGATAACGTTTCGACTTTTTGTCCATTCTACTACTTGGCAATTCGAACAGATGACGATTCGACGTTTTGAACATTCGACAACTGTACCATTCTACTACTTGATAATTCGACTAAATGACGATTCGACGTTTTGAGCATTCGACGTTTTGAACATTCGACGAATTGAGAATTCGTCGTATTGACGATTCGATGTTTTTAACATTTGACGAATTGATAATTCGACGTTTTGAACATTCGACGTATTGACAATTCGATGTTTTTAGCATTCGACTAAATGCCGATTCGATGTTTTTAGCATTCGACGTTTTGTCCATTCGATTACTTGGCATTCGACTATTCGATCATTCGACGACTTGGCGATTAGGGGATATGCATGCGTCTCGTCGGTCTCGTCATTTCGTTTGACATAGAGAGTGTGGCAACGTCGCAACTGCCGCGGAGGAAATAGAGTAGCGCGAAAATTGAAACCAATTCAAGTATTTAGAAAATTTGCTTTATTCATCTTTGTCCAAAAAAATAATGAATAAATTTTTCTAATATTTATTTACTTATTTACTTTTTTGAAACAATTCATGAACTTTTCTTTTAATTGGAAGTAAAATACGTATAAATAAAACTAAATAAAATTGCAAGTAATTTTTGAAATAAATATTGAAAAACGAAATTACAAAAGTTGTATTTTTGGCGAAAGTGAGAAACAATATGACGGCGAGCACACAGAAAAGTGGATCTACGTGTCAGTGGTCAAGGAGGTGGCGCCAATTCTCGGAAGTGGTCGCGACTTGAACTAAGGAAATGTATTAATCTTGAACAAGAAGACTATCTTGAATTACTTCACCTTCAATCGTTAATAAAATAATTTCCTCGCAAAATTATTGCAAAAACGGAGAGGGCCGCTCTTCGGAGAGTCTTCCTCTACCACCCTTACGAAAATAAAATCAAGTTTACAAATTAGCATCAGCTGTACCTGCGTACATGCAGTGACTGCAGTGTTGCCACGTCTCTAACTACAAAACACTACGTTGTTCAAAACATTACTATTTTTTATTTAATTTTCTATTATTTACAAATTTATACATCGTAAATTAAAGAATAATATTTAAAAATGTGATTTTTTATTTTATATCACGATATTTATTTCTTTTTTGAACTTTTAGAAAAAAAATTTACTTTTGACTAGCCTCCTGGAAATAAACACCTTAAATTCCAATGCACCAATCGTCGAAACACGGCTTCACATTTTTAACCCTAGAAGGAGTAACTGGGGTGTCTGGACAAGCAAAATTCAAAGTATTCCCATGGCTTAACCAATAATTTTTTTACGCTCAAAACCCGTTGATAATTTAGTTTGAACCTCTATCTTTTGACACCTATTTGTGCCGCCAAAAGTTTTGCTCTAGGAAGAGCTCTATCTCCTGTTAAAATACGTCTGGAGTATCTGGACACCCCAGTTACTCCCTAACGTTAGAAAAATTGTCAAGATAAGTAAATTCAAATTTTTTAAAAAAATCGTTTTTAATCAGTTAAAATCATCTGATAAAGTATAAATTTATAGGTTATGCATGAAAAAGTTGTATTTTATAAAAAGAAACATTTTTATACAAAAATTCTATTTTTATGAAAAATAGACATTCTGTATTTGTAACAACTTATGAAATTTGAGTTAAGATTTATTAAAAATTTCTGTGCTCTCTACACGGAGAGAGAATATATATTAAATTTTGTAAAAATATTTTCAAATTGGGGAAAAAGTGCGACAAAGCAAAATTTTGATATAAAAAATACTAAACTTTAAAAAAACTTATGTGAAATTTAGTATAATTATATCAAATATCAAGAATATTAATTAAATTCTAATATAACTTTAATAAATTTCACAAAACTTTTTTTAAAGTTTAGTATTTTCTATATCAAAATTTCGCTTTGTTGCACTTTCTCCCCAATTTGTAAAATACTTTTACAAAATTTAATATATATTCTCTCTCCGTGTACAGTCAGAAATTGAATTCTAATACAGAAAAATGTAGTATATGACAGTCAAATTTAAATTATAAATTCTATATTGTTAATAATATTTTAACATATATTAGAGGTATTCAGAATTGTTAATTAAAACTTTGATTAAATATTAATTTACAGAATCATTTCATGAGCTATTAATTTTAATATTAATATATTCAGATATATTAAGTTTGTAAAATTTTAAATTTATAACACCATTTTTAGTAAATATTAATTGTTTAAGTCCATTTTATAGTTCA